TAGGTGATGTAATGCTTCCAAAATTAGCTCCTGGAATTTCCACTTACATGATAACGATACGGGAAAACCCACTAGAGTATGGACGATACCAAACTTCTTTCATCGATCTCAACTGTAACTTACCTCGGAAAAGTGTAATTTAACACAGAAAAAGTAACACGTTATAAATTAAGACACATGCTTTCTATCAGATTACATATGTTACTGTAAATTACTTTATATCAGCATATATTTTGCGAAAGTAAATTTGAAAAAAATGGTATCGATCTTCTCATGAGTTGTCAAGGTAGATACTCAATGAACAAAACCAGGTTGCAGGGGCGTCGACAATCACAATGTGGTTAGTTCCCCTCACGGCCAGCTCCAGATTTTTATAAAAATCTGGAGCTGGCCGTGGTTTCCCCTATAGTCCCCCAGACACCGTCCATACACACTAGCTCACTTTTGATTTGTCGACCTTCAGTCGCCTAATCTTCGCACACTGCTACAGGGTGTTCAGCAATGCCGTTGATATCGTGTGTTGAATATGTAATTATTACCACTACAAAAACATTTAGCAACTTGGTCTAACACACAAACCCCCTAGAGAGTGCTGCAACCTATGTCCCAAGCATTCTCTTTCTCGGAAGAAAAAAGTAAATGCACGACAAGCCAGAAAACAAACAACATAGTGGCACACCCGTAACCACCCGGGACAGCAGACCAGTCCAAAAAAGTTATCAATGGAAGGTGACCTAGTTTCTCTGTGGGGACTATCATGAAACTAAATTAAATCACAAGTTTCATGCACGGCCAGGTTCCATCGTGGTTTTATATTATATGACGTCTGATTGGAAATTATTGAAAAGACAAGAGATAGTAAAAGGTAAGAGAAAAACAGAATGCATTTGTCAGCTTTACACAACCAGTTTACAGTGAACAAACAGATGCCGTTGAGGTGATTAGCCTTCATCAGCAAAACAGCAACAATAAAACAAAACACAGCACACACTGTATATTGAGTCGAAACTGACTACATTAGAATAAAATGTACACGACTGGGACAAATTAATAATAAACGACTGAATTATAGTGAGATTTGCACTGCTTTCTTAAACCACTGTGAATCTCCCCACGGGGGAGCGCGGTGTTTGACTGTGCTCATTCAATAAAATAAAGTAAAGGTATCTTTACATACCAGCAGCGCATCGGACATATGGGGTAAGACTCGTTTTTTAATATCACACCGACCGCCTTTACTTCTCAGGACTTTTATTTCCTACCTTTTTAAGGCTGGTTCGAACTGGGATCCAAGGTTTTATTTGAAGAAAAGGAAATCAAACTGCAAGCATATTTAAACCCACGGCCTTAGGACCCACAGGCGAGTGTCTAGCCGCTACACATCGATGGGGATGGGGAGGGGCTTTAATTTCCCTTAAAAAATGTGTGAGCTGGGCAATTGGGGGGGGGGGGGGGTTGGTGGTGAGGGGACGAGCAAACTCTCCGCCAATGGTATGTGTGTGTGTGAGTTCCGGGGTTCCATTATGGGAAGGGAAAAGGATAGACCCTTTCCCTAACAAGCGTGTCTTAAAAGGCGACTAAGTAGAGAATTTTCTTTAAAGTCGGATTGCATCTGCCTTATAGTCTTAACAGTCTGCATATAGATAAATCAGACCTGTCTATGTCTCGCAACACCAAAATCAAAATATATAAAACGCTGATAAGACCAGTTATTTTATATGGCTCTGAAACTTGGAGCTCAACTAAAACAAACTAAAACACAAATTTTCGAAAATATAACGGAGCTGAATGGTCGTAGACCACGAGGCGGACCAAGAAGAACTATGGATAGATAATATCAAGACGGACCTATAAACACTTGATGTTATCAACTGAAAACAGAAGGGCAGTCAGAGAAATGAATGGAGGCGGGTGATACCTCAAGGGTTCGGAATGCTTAAGAAGAAGAGAAGAACAAGAAGAAAAAGAAGATCATCTGTAAAATACGCCCCTGGTCCAAGGCCGTTGATCACAAGAAGACAACATCGAAACTGAAAGTAAACAGAATATTCTGGGGCCGCCAGTTTCTGCAGAAGTGAAGGCTTGTCGTCTGCACGACTCCAGCAGTAGAGGATAGCAAAAGTTGGCGGTCAGGAGCCGTTGATAGCAAGTATTTAGGTAAGTTAGTAATAGTATACTTACGTGAAAATATTTATTTTTATTGCTTGAATTGTTGTCAGTGAAGACTGATATTTTTTTAAAGATAATTTTATGTGTGGACACACAATCTGAATGAATGTTCTAAAAAGTATTTTCCTATTTGTTCCTATCATTATGTAGTAATAGTAGTAGTACAGTACTACTAGTAGTAGTTATTCAAAAATATACCGTTTAAACCTTTTCGTTATAATAGGGATATATAGTGTTACTTTATTTCTCAGAGGATATATTTGCTATTTTATATTTATATAGCCTATATGCGCTAAAGAATATAATGAACACAGGACAGAGCAAGGGGAAGATTGTAGTAATTTTTAGTAATGTATTGGGGAAAGCTCCTCCTAGGTCGACCCAGCCTTGAGTGGGTACCGGGTCCAGTCCCGGGAAGTAGCGACGGCTGGCGTGATTCTGACCACATCACCCATCTTGTGCCTTTGGTCTATAAAATATAGATCTAACCCTATATGCCCTATATGCTCAAAGTCGTGGAAAAGGGTCCTTTACTTACTTTACTTATTGGAAAAAGTGCAAACGATCCTTACATCTCTCCCCCAACACCTCACTGAGGTAAATGGTGGAAGAGAAGAAGAAAAAGATTTTTTATTTATATATCGCATAATTTTTTAGTTTGTATTATTTCACACATTGCTTTGATTTCGGGTATAATTATTATAAAAACTTTACTATGAATAATTAGACAATCTTACTAAACATTGTTGTCATTAACATTCTGGATTATTTATTTCATTTGTGAAATAGTTGATTATTCTCCTCAATTTCATCTTTAGAGAAAACATCTCCAAGGATTGCATGGGCATTCTTTACCCTTCTTTATATGGTTTTTTGATTCTAGTAAGAAATTGCTTGACCTTGCCACTCAGCTCTCTGGAGCTGTTTTTGTGCAAAAAGTTTTCCATTTTCATAGGTAATTTACAGAGATTCATATATTCACTTAATGGTTTTCGTATTTCCTACACTCCAGCAAATAGGGCTCTATAGTATTGTATTTCTGGCTCACATTACAGGTCTCTTCCTGTAAAGTGAAGCAAGACCATCAAAGTTGATGCCTCCAGTGTTCATACTTATATTGTCAGTATATTTATTGGATCTACCCTTTTTCTGCTTCCCTATCTGCAGTTTCATTACCATGGATACCCACAAGGGCAGGTATCCATGCAACCAGCACGGAGCATCCTTTTGTGTGGTAGCGTTATATCTCTTCTATTAAGTCTGGTCTGCTACATATTTTTGAAATTCTAAATAGTTGACAGAAAGTCCGTTAAAACTGTCACATATTGTTGGAAAGGGGGGGGGGGGGGCAGTGAAAGGGGTTTCTGGGACCTCTCCATGGGTAATCCTCATCCATATAGTGGCACTTTGTGTCATCGGCTGTTTATCGCTTGTGTGATGTCCTGGTGGGGTACAATTTACTTACTTACTTATTATCCTCCTACTCATCATTCTCCTCTGGTCAGATTGTCTGCATTTTAACACCTTTGAATCTTGTTTATTAAAAAATACTGCATTTAAATAGTTTCGTCAGAATTGGAACTCTGCACTGGATGCTGAAAATAGGGACAGTTCTTTTAGAAATGTCCCTGGTGCTATTCTTCTTTTTCTGCGTTCACCCATAAAAGGGCATTTGATCGCCATGTGGAGGTTTACAGCTAGGCCGGGATATCTACACCTTTTGGTCCAACACATTTGACTTCAGCAGTCTTCTAATTGGACAGCTTTTACGACATGGTTATTAGGAGGCATTGGGTCTATCCCCCCCCCCCCTTACATCCCTCCACAGATGGAAATCTGGAGCCAAAATGGGAAATTTGAATGGTGCACCTCAACACAACTATTGCTTTCTGAATCAGTGCACCTCAACAGAACTATTGCATTCTGAATCAGTGCACCTCAACACAACTATTGCTTTCTGAATCAGTGCACCTCAACACAACTATTGCTTTCTGAATCAGTGCACCTCAACATAACTATTGCTTTCTGAATCAGTGCACCTCAACAGAACTATTGCTTTCTGAATCAGTGCACCTCAACACAACTATTGCTTTCTGAATCAGTGCACCTCAACAGAACTATTGCTTTCTGAATCAGTGCACCTCAACAGAACTATTGCTTTCTGAATCAGTGCACATCAACACAACTATTGCTTTCTGAATCAGTGCACATCAACACAACTATTGCTTTCTGAATCAGTGCACCTTAACACAACTATTGCTTTCTGAATCAGTGCACCTCAACACAACTATTGCTTTCTGAATCAGTGCACCTCAACACAACTATTGCTTTCTGAATCAGTGCACCTCAACACAACTATTGCTTTCTGTGAATCAGTGCACCTCAACAGAACTATTGCATTCAAAATCACCATTCCCCATGTGTGTTCCAGGGCCCTTTTGTAGGGAGAACAAGAATAGACCCACTGTCTACCCAAAAGCATGTCATAGGAGTCGACTGATTGGGAGCTTCCTTCTAAGTCAGACTGCATCTGCCTGAGAGGCAAGGAACCACCAGTCTGCATACAAATGAGGCAGATCTATAAAACGGATGCACACACAGCACACAGTTTTTGGAACAACAGCATCACAGTCCAGAAGTGGATGAACAGCCAGAACTTTTCTTCTGAGCTTACAGCTGGTGAACACAAAGAAGAAGAGAATCACAATCATAAAGAGTATGTTTTTACAGCTGATCTGGTTTTGTAATGCTATTCTTTCTGTGTTCCAGCTAGGAAAGCCTGTTTCCACAACTTGTACCAGCGCTCTTACACAAGTTACACAAATTAAGTCATGGGTAAGTAAAATTAACATAAAATCAAATTACAGTATGGTGTTAACTCATTCATTCCTAGAAGATTATACAATTGACAAGCATTTATATTCAATATTGACATAAATGTTTTGCTGATGACACAGTCTTGATAGCAACAAGTCAGAAAGAACTACAGAAAATGACAGACATTGTGGTGGTGGAAAGTGGAAGAATGGGCCTCAGTTTGAATAATGGGAAGACAGAAGTAATAGTGGTATCAAAGAAAAGAATTATTCCTAAATGTGTAATAAAAGTCAACGGTGTTAATTTGGGACAAGTACAGAAATTTATGTATCTGGGCACATGGATAACATCAGATGGAAGATGCATTACTGAGATAAGAAACAGAATAGGCCAGGCAAAAACTGCATTTTATAAAATGAAGAACATCTTATGCAATATATCTTTGTCATTGAGGGTAAGAAAAATAATTCTTGATTGCTACATACATCCAGTTTTAACATGGCTATGAGTCCTGGACAGTTGATAGGCAGGCGAAACAATTTTTTGAGGCCTCAGATATGTGGTTTTACAGAAGAATGCTTAGAATACCTTGGACAGCCAAAAAGAGAGCAACCAAGAGGTTTTAAAAGAGGCGGGAGCCTAAATACAACTTATCACAGACATCAGAAGGAGACAGTCATCATTTTTTGGCCATGTTATGAGAAAAGGGAAAATGGAACATGTTGTGACTACTGGAAAGATCTGTGAAAGAGGAAGACAGGGAGAGAAGATTCTTGACAGTCTTGTTGCATGACATCGAAGTGTGTCAGCACACAAACTGATACATGCTGTAGGAGATCATACACACATATACACATATATACAAATCAATGCCTTTACATACACACATATATACAAACACAAGTAGTTGACAGAAAGACAAAAATGTGTGGTTGTATTTAATATTTATTTACAATATATGTGCGCTGGAGAAAAATACTACTACTATTTTTAGAAAAGGTGTCTCAAAGTAGTAATAGTTAATTTAGCCAGTGATATCCTGTTTAACCCATCTGGGTTATAATGGGGGTATATAGAGTATTTTCTTTTCTAATATTAGATACTTGTTTATCTAGTACTTTTGGCTTTTGTTGAATGTTGAATTAATGATTGACATCATAGCACTGGGGACACTCTGATAAGTGCCCCAAAAAATTCAAATTCTGATAGTACCAGTAACTGTCTGATTGTTTGCCTGTCTCGCCTTTACCTTGAGCGTTGAGCGTCGGCCAGATCCCCTGGTTTTGGCTTTTAATATTGCATAGATTGTATGTTCATTAAATCGCAAGTAGTTCTCTTCTCTTTTCTTCTTTTGCTGTTTTCTTATTCTGCTTTCTGATACAAATCAGTGTCGATACATATACACATATATACAAATTAGTGACTTTACATACACACATATATACAAATCAGTGCCTTTACATATACACATATATACATATATACAAATCAGTGCCTTTACATATACACGTATATACATATATACAAATCAGTGCCTTTACATTTACACATATATACATATATACAAATCAGTGCCTTTACATATACACATATATACAAATCAGTGCCTTTACATACACACATATAAACAAATCAGTGCCTTTACATACACACATATATACAAATCAGTGCCTTTTCATATACACATGTGTACATATTTGTACATATATACAAATCAGTGCCTTTACATACACACATATATATAAATCAGTGCCTTTACATACACACATATATACAAATCAGTGCCTTAACATATGTATATAAATCAGTGCCTTTACATACACACATATATACAAATCAGTGCCTTAACATATGTATATAAATCAGTGCCTTTACATACACACATATATACAAATTAGTGCCTTTACATATATATACAATTCAGTGCTTTTACATATACACATATGTACAAATCAGTGCCTTTACATTTTAAATATATATACAAATCAGTGCCTTTACATATACACATATGTACAAATCAGTGCCTTTACATATACACGTATGTACAAATCAGTGCTTTTACATACACACATATATACAAATCAGTGCCTTTACATTTACATATATGTACAAATCAGTGCTTTTACATACACACATATGTACAAATCAGTGCTTTTACATACACACATATGTACAAATCAGTGCCATTTATATATACACACATGTACAAATCAGTGCCCTTACATACACACATATATTCAAATCAGTGCCTTTACATACACACATATATACAAATCAGTGCCTTTACATATATATACAAATCAGTGCCTTTACATATACACATATATACAAATCGGTGCCTTTACATATACACAAATGTACAAATCAGTGCATTTACATAAACATTTATATATATATATATATATGTACTTATATATATATATATATATATATATATATATATATATATATATATATATATATATATATATATATATATATATATATATATATATATATATACACACAAATCAGTGCCTTTACATATACATATATGTACAAATCAGTGCCTTTACATTTAAATATATATACAAATCAGTGCCTTTACATATATACATATGTACAAATCAGTGCCTTTACATATACACATATGCTTTAATCAGTGCCTTTACATATACACATATATACAAATCAATGCCTTAACATATACACATACATACAAGTCAGTGCGTTTACATATACACATGTGTACAAATCAGTGCTTTTACATACACACATATATACAAATCAGTACCTTTACATATACATATATGTACAAATCAGTGCTTTTACATACACACATATGTACAAATCAGTGCCTTTATATATACACACATATATACAAATCAGTGCCTTTACATATAAACATGTGTACATATATGTACATATATACAAATCAGTGCCTTTACATACACACACATATATAAATCAGTGCCTTTACATATACACATATGTACAAATCTGTGCCTTTACATATACACATATATTCAAATCAGTGCCTTTACATACACACATATATACAAATCAGTGCCTTTACATATATATACAAATCAGTGCCTTTACATATACACATATATACAAATCAGTGCCTTTACATATACACAAATGTACAAATCAGTGTATTTACATACACATATATATATATATATACAAATCAGTGCCTTTACATATACACATATGTACAAATCAGTGCCTTTACATTTAAATTCATTTACAAATCAGTGCCTTTACATATATACATATGTACAAATCAGTGCCTTTACATATACACATATGCTCAAATCAGTGCCTTTACATATACACATATATACAAATCAATGCCTTTACATACACACATATGTACAAATCAGTGCCTTTACATACACACATATGTACAAATCAGTGCCTTTACATACACACATATATACAAATCAGTGCCTTTACATATACACATATGTGCAAATCAGTGCTTTTACATACACACATATGTACAAATCAGTGCCTTTACATATACACATATGTACAAATCAGTGCTTTTACATTAACACATATGTACAAATCAGTGCTTTTACATACACACATGTATACAAAACAGTGCTTTTACATATACACATATGTACAAAACAGTGCTTTTACATATACACATATGTACAAAACAGTGCTTTTACATATACACATATGTACAAAACAGTGCTTTTATGTATACGCATATGTACAAATCAGTGCTTTTATGTATACGCATATGTACAAATCAGTGCTTTTACATATACACATATGTACAAATCAGTGCTTTTACATATACATATATGTACAAATCAGTGCTTTTACATATACACATATGTACAAATCAGTGCCTTTACATATACACATGTATACAAACACAAGTAGTTGACAGAAAGACCAAAATATGTGGTTGTAGGATGGAAAATAATGTATCTAAACAAATCCCCAGCTGCTGCTAACCCATATGATGCTTGGGGAGTCAGTGAAGATAATGAAGACACTGGAGATTATGAAGATGTTGATCAGAGCAACAGCAGCAGTGAGAACACAGCAAGAACATTCCAGCAAGCACGAGGTATAATATTGTTTCATTATGCACATTACTTATTTTAATAAAAACTATCTCAACTGCCTGTAGATACCACTTTTTAGTGGTGTAGGATGGGGGAACCCATAATGGCTTAGAAATAAAGACAGACGAAAAAACACTTGGAGAAGTAGCTAGAGAATGAAGTTAAAAAGATAGGGAGGACAAGGGGGTGAGCTGCATGCAATAGTAAATGATAGGATGACTTGGCATTAGTTGACTGAGGGCCTCTCCCATGTGTGTTCCGGGGCCCTATTATAGGGAAAACAAGAACATATCTATGCCTACCCAGAAGCATGTTTTGTCAACTAATTGGGAGCTTCCTTCGAAGTCATAGTGCATCTGTATGAGAGGCAAGGAACTAACAGTCTGCACACAAATGTGTCAGATCTGTCAAATGGATGCATACATAACATTCGGGTTCTGGAACAGGACTGCAGTCCAGAATTGGATGAACAACCAGAACTTTCCGCTAGAGTTTACAGCTGGTGAATGCAAAGAAGAAGAAGAAGAAGGACCTATGCTTCTTTGGAGGATAAAGAGCACAAGAAAGAGAAGTAGGATGGGAGAGATCTTAACCTAAGAATGTAGGTCTGCATGGCTACAGTCGTGGCTATGAACTGTACAGGTTCTTCTCTTCCTTTAGCCTTCTGAGTCCTTGAGGTTCATTGCTGCAGATATCTTTCACCTCCATTTATCATTCTGACTGGCAAAGATATTCCATTTGGAGACTCCAGATGTTTGTAGGTTTGCCTGTATATTTTATCTCTCCACAGTAATCCTGGTGTGCCTCATGGTCTACTCCCATTCAGCTCTTGTGTGTCTAGTTTTTGTCTCTATTATCCGGCATTCTCTTATGTGTCCTCACTTGGCAGATTATGATTTTATTTTTGGCACTTCACAGAATAAGGAAAAAAATTGCACCTTACCCACATTTAGGAGGTAAAGATATGGATACATTTTCAAAAAATAGCATTTAGGGGGTTTCTTTGTGATTCAAATAGCATGGCCATGTTGACATCAGAATGTATGTATGTATGTATGTATGTATGTATGTATGTATGTATGTATGTATGTATGTATGTATGTATGTATGTATGTTCATGTATAGTATGTATGGGTTTCTGTGTGTTCTGTAGCTGTCTGTCTGTCTGCCTGCCTGCCTGCCTGCCTGCCTGCCTGCCTGCCTGCCTGCCTGCCTGCCTGCCTGCCTGCCTGCCTGGCTGGCTGGCTGGCTGGCTGGCTGGCTGGCTGGCTGGCTGGATGGATGGAATAATTTCCAAAGAAAACTTTTTATTGTTGTAATAATAAATTATCCATGGCTTAGGCGTTATGAGTTCAACTCATAATTCCAAAGTAGCCCAATCAAAACCCACTGCTGGCTACATGGATTTTTATTGTGGTATAGGGCGTCGCAGGTCGACCCAGCCTCAAATGTTTACCAGGATGTATGTCCTGGAGAAGTAAAGACAGCCGGTGTAATGCTGACCACATTACCCATTTAGTGCCGATTGGTCTGTACAAATATGAATGCTCTTCCCATATGCCCAATGCGCCTGAAGGCGTAGGAAAGGATCTTTACTTTTTTTTAATAATAAATAATATTATGATATTGATTTCCAAGTATTGATAGTGGTGTATTTTAAGAAACTAATAATATCATTATAAATATACAAACACTGTTATTGTTGTGGTGTGAGCTTTCACTTAATCATAAGTTGCTGTGTTTAAGTTTCCCAAAGTTGATATTGTTATTTTGATGTATATCTCTAGACACCGATATTACTTTGTGTTTTGAAATAATAGTATTATTATGTTGTTAAGTTTTTTGAAGCACTAAATTATTATTTTATTGGCCACTTCCAAATACTGATATTTTTTGTTGTAAGTTTCCAAGTTATGTTATATCTTATGTTATAACATTCCACTGCACATGATGCATTCTTCATTTGTGCTCTGTCCTTGATGCAGCAACCACATCAAGGCACCTCTACTGATTGCTCGAGTGAGAAGTTGGTTACAAGTGATAACAATGTTGAATTCTTACTTGTCAAATACTGATATTATTGTTATGTTTTATGTAGCAAATGATCCAAATATTTACTTACCTAATTAAAGCGTTAGACATCATGGCATGGAAGATCATCTGTGTCAGAGTTTATTGAAAGTACACGAGACAGAAGGTTGTGTAAAGACATGCCTACCTGTGCCATACGGTTCAGGCTGTGAGAAGAAGAATAAAAGGGTACAATTTTCTTGTGCCATTATCATGTTATGAATTCTTATCATAAGATTTGTTTTGTTATTTTCATGTTGTTATTTATATATTCTCCTCAAGGGATTTTTGAAGCTGAAGTCAACTGTGTAGAGGAAGTGAACCTTCACACAGACATGGATTCATGTGAGAAGAATCCGGGTCACCGTGGTTTCATACCTGCTGATGAGTTTACAGTGAACAGTCTTCCTCCTCACTACCGGGACAATGATATAGCAAAACTTATTCAGGCATTAGCACAGATCACAGCTCGCATCTCTATCAAGTATACAAGTTCTAACAGACCTGATTTTTATCCAGGCAGCGACAAGCCCTATCCAAATGCAGACATGAAGGGGAAGACACGCTTGAGAACAGGAAGTGGCTGGGTGTGGCGAGTGAATATATTTTCTGGAGGTAACAACCGCCGAAATAAAACAAAAGCATGTCCTTGTCAGGAGTGTAAGAAAAGTCGGAACCCTGAAAGACAATGGGCAGTTATTGATATCTATACAGCGACACACATGGTCTACGATGAGGCAGAGGGAGCAAAAACTACATGCCATTTTTTCTATGATAACAATAGAAATAGTTTAGCTGAGTTGCCATCTCTGCATGGAGCAGTTCGTGTACATAATGTTGTTGATGGTGATGCATGTAGAATGACTTATATAACTCACGATATTCAGCTTGCAAGTAAACTCCAAAATAGTTGGAGAGAATATAAGACTTTGCATACAGCAGTTGGGGAAAAATACAACACCACCGATAATGATGGTCAAGCGGTAGCTGAGAATGACCACAAGTTGACCATCATAGTGTCCCACCCACATGGCTGTAGCAAACAGATTTCCATTGGGGAATTTGTTCAGAGGGATGAAATGGATTATAATGATGCGTACACAAAGTACACGTACACAACACCCACTTGTCCTGGGTGTAGTGGTGGCCCGGTGTATGTACTCAGCCGTTGGTGGTGGTGGGGGTGCGATCACCCACATGGCGGACAATGTGAGGAGAATGAAAATCTGAATTATAGTGGAATTGCCATGTACTAGTTACATGATCCACCCATGTGATACCGGGGCCCTTAAGGGGAAGCAAAGAATAGCAACACTGCAACCTACCGAGCACGTCCTAAGAGGCCACTAAGGTTGGGCTTGGGCTGTCCCATTCCATAGAGAACCATAAAATGTTAGTGTCCAGGGACAAGTCCAAAAGCGAAACAAGAATTTCTCATCTAAATGGAGGGTGAGGGTATCTTCCAGAATTATGAGGCGCCAAACTGTTACAGAAAATGATAAAATGATTTTTTTTTTAAAGGCAGATATGTTTCTCCCTTCTAGTTTTCAGTTTACTAAAGAATTATTTGACTTTATTTTTTTTTTAATTTACAGATGTCAAAGGGTGATGTATTTTATAACCTTTTATTATGTTCGTTTTTGGTGCATATTTTAGCCAGTTAAAACATGATTTTATTTCTTGTTCACAATTATAAATGTTTGTTTGATATTTTTGTTGTTTAGCTTCATACTTCTGTTTATGTTTGTAATTTTTAAAGCTTTTCTTTTTATCTCCTTCTGCTCCTTCACCTGCATCTGTTTATTCGTCTTCTTTTTCGTCTGCAGAGAAAGTAAAGGCGACTAAAAAGTAAACTGGTTTTTCCACCTCATACGACTTTCTCTAGAATTTTGAGATGGCCTAACTCATTAGGGGCGCTACAATGGTGTAGCTCCTAGACACTTGCCTGTGGATTCAAAGATCATGGGTTTGAATCCGAACAGAGCTGCATAGAAAAAAACAGAAAAAGTCTTTGGCTCCCATGTTGACCTAGCCTCACATGGGTACAGGGTAAAGTTCTGGGAAGTAAAGCAGCCGGTGTGATGTTGACCTCATCACCCACCAAATAGTGATTGGTCTACAATATAGGGCTAGCACTATAGGCCGAATAAGCCAGAAGTCATGGAAAAAAATCCTTTACTAACTCTTCATACGCTGGCGGCAGCATAACCTACAGAACCACCTTTAAAGATAGAGAAACATTCAATGTTTTTTTTTTCGTGGGACCTTTTATAACTTTAACCTTTTCTTTTCCCTGTTGTACTTCACTTATTCAGGAGGAATTAACTTAATAAATTAATCAAAACCTGCATAATTTGTGGCAACTGCGCTAGTCTTGTAGCCTTGAAATACTCAGTCACACGACCCTTCCCTGCCCTACACCATAAAGTGGTAAATACAGGCAGAAAAGACAGTTTCATACAGTTAATCAGCTAATCATAACTGCAACTTCACGGCAAAATGGGTCACCCTGTAGCTGCTGCATTCCTCTGTTATCAAAAACCAGACAGAATATGCATCACTGTCCCTTGTAAGCAAATCTGAAACAGACTGCAGTGTCTGCACAGCCAATCCAATAGCATTCACACATATTAAATGTATAAGGCCGCCACCAGAAGTGCTAACACAAACATTTCGGACACTAGAATTGCAGTTGTGACTGTGTGTATGAGTGTGTGTGTATGTACGTGTGTGTTAATACGCGTGTGTGTATGTATGTATGTATGTGTGTTTATGTATGTGTGTATTGGGTGCCTATGTGTGTGTGTAAGTAAGTGTCTGTGTTCGCAAGCGAGCGAGCGCATGCATTTTACCACCCATGCTTTCATTTTTGACTTGATATTAATAATATCCATATTATTACATGAACATAACATGCTTTTTAATAAAATACAACTGATGTGTGCAGGGTGGGTGTTTGAAAGAGCCGAATGTAAGAGAGGCCTCCCTGCCTAATTTGTGACCCTTTAAAAATAGTTTGCTCGTTCATTAGATTTATAAATCACAAATACCTAATGTTTATAATGCAGTATGTTTAGAATTTTATGATAGATCCATGGAGAGATATAAACTTCCCAATGTATGTTCTGCGGCACCATGGGGTGATGTGTTGGGCCAAAAAGTGCAGATATTGCAGCCTAGCTGTAAACTACAGCACAATGTACCAACCACCCTTTTGAAGGCGAACGCAGAAGCAGGAGATATGAACACCTTTGCCACTATACACGCACACACATAAAGTACATCAGAACACCTTTGCCACTATACACACACACACATATAAAGTACATCAGAACACCTTTGTCTCTATACACGCACACACATAAAGTACATCAGAACACCTTTGCCGCTATACACGCACACACATAAAGTTCACCAGAACGCCTTTGCCCTTATATACACACACACATAAAGTACATCAGAACACCTTTGCCGCTATACATGCACACATAAAGTACATCAGAACACCTTTGTCACTATACACACACGCACATAAAGTACATCAGAACACCTTTACCACTATACACACACGCACATAAAGTACATCAGAACACCTTTGTCACTATACACACACGCACATAAAGTACATCAGAACACCTTTACCACTATACACGAACACATAAAGTACATCAGAACACCTTTGCCACTGTACATGCACACACATAAAGTACATCAGAACACCTTTACCACTATACACGAACACATAAAGTACATCAGAACACCTTTGCCACTATACATGCACACACATAAAGTACATCAGAACACCTTTACCACTATACACGCACAGACATAAAATACATCAAACACCTTTGCCACTTTACACGCACACACACAAAGTACATCAGGACACCTTTGCCATTTTACACACAACACACATAAAGTACATCACTAAATAATTATGGGGCAAATAAGGCTAGACTCGTGTACTGTTATAGATCAGTAGGCACTCGGTAAATGATGTGGTCAAACTCACACTGGCCACCTTTACTTCCCAGGTCATAACCTGGTACCCAGTTAAGGTTGGGCTCCGTTGCTATGCCAACAAAAGCCATAAGGAATGGGTTCTTTATTAATATCCTACCCCAGATGGCATTGCAGGGCAGTCCAACATTTTAGAGGGTGGTAAGACTAATTTTCTTGGCTTTATGATGCTTTTAACGACCACAAAACATCTAGAACTGGCCATAATTACAACCCACCTACATCTCATGACTGCATGCAGCCTAGGTCCAATGACTGCATGCAGTCTATCTACCACCCCCTTAAATATTAGACTGTCCCATGACCTGTGGATTTTCCCTGTTTGGGGTAGGATATTAATAAAGCACCATGGAATGTCCATCACTGTCCCTTGTGAAACAGACTACAGCCTCAGCAAAGGCAGTGGCATACACATGCATTAAATACATAAGACAGCCACAATAAGTGCCAATACCAACAGTCCAGTACTATACATATAGGAAATTGTTGATGGGAGTGGAAGCAGCAGTTACAAAGATCAGTAGTTGCACACAGCTCCTGTATACACACACACACACGTGCGCACCCACATGCTTGAGTCACAAGTAAATGACCCGCACATGATGACAAATCTTGTAATTAATTCTTTCAGTCCCACAAGGCCTTAGCTAATATCCGAGGGAGTTGCAAATGGCAATACTAAACTCATGGGTGTGCTTCTTCCAGAGGGGCCAAATATACAATCCTTGCAGGAAACAAATATGTTGTCAGAGTTCCTTGCTAAACATAAAATGTAAAAAACTTGAAAACATGTTGATTGGTACACATGAATAATATCTAGTCATGTACAGTGCATTGTTTGGGACAAAAAAAAGAGTTAAAGTATTCTGTCATATGACCCCTAAACACACACACATTAGTTAGTTAGTCCTTCCCCTTGAGCCTAACCCGGTGCATTTGGCAGAGGTCATAGCTCTCCATTTCTGGCGGTTCGTTGCAACCTGTTTTAGGTCTTGGATATTCATTAGGCCCATGGTTGAGCCTTCCCTGATGATGGTTCAATGCAAGATCTCTCTTGATCTTCCCCATTTTCTTTTCCCTCCCCATGTCCATATGAGGGCTTGAGGGGGGAGTCGTGTCTTATCCATTCTGAGTGCATTGCTGATATAGTTCCAGGGGCGCTTTCTTAAAAAATTGGATACATTATCCAGCTAGGTCTCTTGTCTTATTTACATATTTCTGATTCTAAAACACATATGATGTATCAATAATCAGGTTTTACATGCAGCCACAACCCTCACCTCTCAACACACAGAGAACACTTTGGTTTGAATGAATGAATCAAGAATTGACGTCCCCCACACTTGCTCCATTCGCTTCTTCAGTAGCCAACCAAGAGTCCACATGCTAATAGTACCAGTTTCAATGTGATTAAAAGTTTGCTTCTGTTTCTCTCTTTCTTTTTGTGTGTGGGTAATATCCAGAAACCAATGAGTTTTTAACCTTATTGCTTGGTACTATGGATATCGCAACCCTAGATAAATCTGAGAAAAATGTGGCTTTTCTATCAACCCCCCGGTGTTAACCCGGACCACAAGGAGTTCGTCACCTGGTCGCCGCGAAGTCAGGTTTAACCAACTAGGCTAGCGAGCCGGGCCTCTGTTTCCCTTCAATGTTGAATATCTCCCATAACCTCTACACACCTCCGGTTGCATTAGTCTTACAGTGTATGGATTCCCTATCTATTCTTTTGCACTGTCCATTTGATCCCTTAGAACCTTCGCCACATCACTTTATCAAATAGTAGCTTACCGCTACTAAATCAGTCCCGTTGAATGGCGTGAAAACAAGGAGAATAACTGTAGCAATTACTAATACAAAAATTAACTGGTGCCTGCGTAGAATTGAGGGAATTCAATGGTATGATAGAATCATTAATGTAGAGCTTTGGGAAAGAAGTAAGCAATTTCCAGTGGACTGAGAGGTGAATAAAAGACGTTGGCGCTGGATAGGACACATGTTGAGAAACCCTGAGAACAATATAACTAGAATGCTTTTTTCACTGGAACACCCAGGGGCAAAGGAATGAAGGAAGACCAAAAAACAAATGGAGAAGGGAGCTAGAGGGGGAATTTAAAAGGATGGGGAGGACAAAGGGAGAACTGCATGCGATAAAGAAGGATAAATCGACTTGGTGTGAGTTGGTTGACGGCCTATGCTCCATTAGAAAGGCAGAAGAAGCTTACCGCCAAGAGGA